CTACTTAAAGTGCAACGTACCCCTTCAACATAAACCTAAGAAAAGCTATTTAAAGTGCAGCATACCCCTCCCAAGCCGAAAAGCGTAACATGTGTTCTGAGGGTAGCTTCGATATGTCAAATCGCCGACTTTACTCTCATCGGCGTCTCCTATCGTTTCCACTGGATGCATGACATTTCCCAGCTTAGTTGATGAACATCAGTGCCCTGGCCTCCAAATCTCAGGATACCCATAATAGCTCCGAACAATCCGCCTGCCACGCTCGAAAAAATGGTGAGAGGTCAAGACAATCGTAGTTTGCCGCTGCGTCGCGTGTCGCGATGAACGCGACACTTTCTTAATTTGTACTAGTCTATCGACTGGAGCACCGAATTTCCACGACATTGTACTCATTCGAGGACATTTTTCAGAAGATATTGTATATTTCGCCATTTACAATCTAGAACCTACAAACCTCGGCATTACCGGGTAAGACGTCGTACGCGACGTCCACCAGCGCGGCGAGTTTTTAGGTTGTCCCAAAAGTTCGTGACCATTTTTAGAATCTCGTATCAGATCTTTCCTTAGCCATTTCGAGATCCAGTTATGTGGTCTATGGGAAGTGTGTTAAGTAAGCATCCCACAGCTTCTTCACCGTCCCTCGCAGTCGCTGTTCTCATATGAAAAACGGTAATTGAAATTCATCATTTTCGACACACTTCGCTATATGAATCTCCACCAAGCCACAACGTGGTTGGAGCCATAGCGGCATTTCTCTGAGTTAGGTCCTGATGGTACCTTCCACAGTGCGGCGCTGAAATGGCCCGATCTTTTCCGCTTGAGTGAATTCTATCTGGGAGAAAAACTTCGTCCAGGAGACCACCTGCCTTGATTCTGGACGCGACACTAGTATTCCTTGATTGAAAGCTAATTTCATACAAATCAACTTAAAATCTACCCGCATCGCTCACATTTGACTGATCTTAAAGCACGAAAGGAGAGGAAGGCCGGATCCGCTTAAAAAAGTTCTTGAAGTTCGGTCAAAATTTTTCTCTTGAGTTCGCGATATGGCCAAGGGGAGCGCATGTGTACTGGCCATCGGCAGCTTCTTTCAACTGCTCGCGGAGCCATAACCCGACTGGTTTAACAACGGACTGCTGTCTGCATAATGGAGTCGCTTTTCTAAGGTGATCACTGTCTCGGAAGCGCCAGCGCTAAAAGTCCTCGGGCAGAAAGACCAACGATCGCGCAGTCCTATCAATTCAGTAGGGGCGGTGACAAACTGTGGCGAGGTGGTGAGTAGGGTTCTTTCTCTCTTCCTGAAGGGGAATTTTTTTTCTTCTAAGCGCTGTGTAACTAGACCCTATTGTAATCAACTGCAAAGGGGGAATGAAAATGCCCCAAAGAATTCTGTCCCACAACCCAGCAATGTTTCCTACTCCGCCACAGGTCAGGGTCACGTTTCGAAAGACACTGCTCGAGATCCTGAAGCTTAGCTGGGGAATTCCACCACAGTCTTCGTGTAGCCCTGACTTAGCTCTTTCCGATCGCCATCTAAACTAATCCCACAGCGGCCATCTTCTGGGTAAAAAATACGATTTTTGATAGTACCTCAAAAATGACCCAGCTGCCTTTCTCGGCACGGAACCAAAAAGCTTCTGGAAGCAAGGCAACCACTCTTTGCTGGTGGTTGGCAACAAGTTGCCGATGAAGGTAACATATATATTGGATCAAAATTGCTTCTCACTGGAATAAAACTAACTCGAAAAAAACGTTCGAAATGGTCACGAACTTTTGGGACAACCTAATACGATTGTCTTGTCGCACACCCGAAAAGAAGCGGTAATTGGTATTATTTCTGATGGGACAGCTATCTCTTGCATAATCAGAGTGAAAGATCACCAAAACGAATAACAATCAACACGATAATTGGCTTTCCTCTATATTTTTTTTGAAAAACACAAACACCGTTTTACGCCACCCTCCTGGCAAACAGAGGGGTTCTGAGACGAACCTTAATGCCTCCAGAAGTGATCTCTGCCTTTACAAACACCTACACTTCACTCAAACAACTACTTAATGGTCAGGACATTTGGATGAATGCCTTCTCGAGTAAATGATCTTTTTAATGGATTAGTGCACGGATTAGGCAATGAGCGCATTAACGAGAAGCCACTGATCCTCATTTTAGCCTCTCAATGTAGCAATTGCTGGAGTATTCCCAGTAACCTATGTTCTGAATGTATAATCTTAGGAACAATCTCTGTATCATGACCTCTGCTCTTGCAAATCGAGGCTAATGACTACTCAGCTTAACTCATCGTGCGGTAGGGTGAGGGTGGCGGAGGGAGGATGAGCCACAGGGACCGAACATTTTTCTTGGAACCAACCAGTTTTCAATTTTTGCTGTGATACTTAGAAACGAAAAGGGCTACCTAGGTTGAGGTGTGTCCAGCGTTCGATTTTCTCAAACAAATAACGTTCGGTAATCAGCCGAAAGTCCTCCGGTAGAACCCTTACGTACGGGGGTACGATAACTAACTAGTATGTGAACAGTCATAAAAGAATCCAGCATCCTGTCACTTCTGTTACAAGAGCGGCTGATAACATGAAAAAGTACGCTTAGGATAAAGCTTTATGGCACTGGGATTTGGGTTGCGCCTTGCTATCCTACTTCTACTTCCATTAGTACGGCGCTCCAGGCTGGTAATGTGGGCGGAGCCGGCCCGCTGTCTCTTCTCCTTGCCTGACTGCTCCTCTACATCTTCTATAAAAGTGGAGAGCACCAATGAAGAAGACACAATAGTGTCATGGCAGGCCCAACTCCGCCTTTTCGACCAAAGGGGGAATGCGTTCTCAGGCATTGTAGGAGCATCTCCTGGTGTTAAGTGCCTTCAAGAAGATACTGGTAGATCTATAAGTTTATGAGAACTCGTTGTAATGGATTGTTCCTTTTCAGGTCGATAGCCGAGTGTGCCACTTTTTCTGGCGATCAACGCTGATAGCCTACCCCCTATCACTGATTGCACAAGCCGGTATGTGAATATTTCTGAAAGTTTTTGCTCAAGTTTTTTTCAGCTTTTTGAGGGCAGACATCTTTGGAGGGGCGGTGTAGAGCAATCTATTACTCTAAAAGAGCCTAAAAACTTGGGTTAAAACATCTAAAAGGTAAGCGGAAAAGGGAAGCCTGCTCAGCAGAGAGTGCGATGACGACAAGATAGCTCGATAAAGCGGACTTGCGGATGCGCCATGCATCTGGCTCGCTCTAGAAGTCTTGAACAGTTTCAGAATTTGTTTGGCTCACTCTGCCGAGTAGAAGCAACATTTCCTCTTTTCTCATACAACATAATACAGCTGTTATCGTCGCAATAGTCGGGCGGTGAAAGAGTGGCAGAATGAGCCCTACCCCCCCTCCCCCCCCCTGCTCCCTCTTCTTCAATAGAGGTCCGCTAAAGATTGAGAGCCTCTAGTGGTGGAAATGCCGCAGGTTGGCTTAATCCTCTCTTGATACCCCCCTCCCAGCACTGATTTCGCGACGATATCAATTGTACCAGCTAATCGAACCGAAGTGCGAGTAGGTATGATTGACCTGTAAGAGCCCAGGCTGCTTGACAGTAAGGGCGTAGCCTTTCTTGACATCAGCGCTACCTTTCCATGAAAATCACGGTGCAGGCAGAAATATCGACTGTTAACAGTTCGCTTTAGTGTAAGCCGTGCGTAGATCTCCCTCTAAAACCACTAACTTTTAATGATCAATGGCGTACTTGCAACACTTGTATTGTTCAGGATCAGTGTGGACCTGTGTCGTTATTGCGTTCGATCGTTTCATAGCTGTATTTAGGGTTTGGGCTACTCCGCAAACGTCAACGACTGTTATCTGCGGAGTGGCTCTTTTCAGGTTAGTATTGTTATTTTATGTAGCAAATAAATGATAAAATATGTGCAACTCGTAGACATTAAATAGTATCGACGATGAAAATAATTGGCAAAGTGGACGATAGAAAATGAATTGATAATTGACAAGATAGAATGAACGATAACTGATTTAATGGAAAAAATGATATGCGTTTAGAATCTTTTGAGTGGACTTTTAATGCCTTTCGAATTCATTTGCCAGGCACAAGACTGTTTAGCGCCTGCGCTAAAGGAAAGGACCCCGGAAAGTTGCGGGGCCTTTCCTTTAGCGGGCGTCAGATCTGCAGCGGAGACGTTGTAAATTTTTCACTCCAACGGAGTGTTATGTCCGTGTTTGGAAAGTGAAGCCATCCTGCTCCAATCCCTACCGCCCCAGGACATACTCTTACATGGATCTACGAGCATATTTCAATGAAAAATCTGTGCAGTTTGGCTTGGTGGGGGCACTGAATTACACTCAGAGAAGCTTATACGGACAATCTTGGTGAAATCATGTAAATCCCGGCAATCCAAAGTGGTTCCCTTGTGCCAGTTCGTAGCTTTACAAGAAATTACAGTCTCATCAAAGTGAATACGCTATTCTGTTTACTAAGCTACCAAAAGATCTAGCGCGATGAAAGCATCAATATGTCTTCCTGCCCCTTCCTCAAGCGATCAGCGCCAACAAAATGTCCTCAATTTTAGAAAACAAAATTGAAAAGGAAAATCTGTTTTTCCATCTCATGAAACCATTTTCTTTTTGACTACGTGTATTTGCACCTAAATAATTAAGGCAGTGGGCATGATTGCTGGAGGCGGGCAGTTGTCGCCAACGTCATTGGTGGAAGGGCACAGTAGTGTGGCTAAACGCCCTCTCGCAACCCACCACCAAGGACGGCGGCGACAACCTCCGCCTCCAGCTATCGTGCCCACTATCCTCAAGGATCTACAGCATGAAATGTGCGGTCATGAATAGTAGCTGGTTTTCAGTTTACTCTTCAAATTGCCCGCCTTCTTCGAAATTATTCTCGACGACTCCGGTCAAATCACGCCCTCATCATTACGGCTTGATCCCACGTATCAATTAATATATATGACCTATATGTATGTGATATTTATTCTGCTGATACCATGGACGTGTATTATCGTGGTCAATGCGATCGTCATTCAGAAGGTCAGGGCATTTTCCTGTCTCATTGACAGTTTTTCCCGGCCTGAGTATCTCCCCTGGACAAGAGGTTTGGAAGCACTGCCGCGTGCGGTTGCTCAGCGGCAGTGCTTGCGAATTGTATCTGGTGACAGTCCAGTGGCGATCAATGGAATTCAATCAGAATTTCCGGCGGGTGTTAGGGAATGTGGCAGATTTGTGTGCTGGGCTGTGGTCCTGAAACGAATCCAGCAAGCTTCAAGAGAAACATTCACTTTGGGAATGCTTCAGAATACGTTCTGTACGCAAGGGGCGGGGGATGCAATCCTCTTCGCTCGGGTGCTGGGACATGTCAGGGGTCTAGGGCTGGGTTCGATGCGACGCCAAACCGTTGTCCATCATTTGTGGAAACACCTAAGCGACAACTTGTGGAAAGTGGGTTGCCGCCGCACCAAACACCCCCCCCTCTTCTGAGACCCCAGCATCCTCAGCGAATAAACTGTAAATGACTGCATTCTTCAAGTCCCCTTGGAGTCTTCCTTTCACCAGCTGTAAATTCAGTTCTGTCCCTCGCTCTCCGGTTCGCCCTGAAGTCTGAATGCTAATTTCAGGTACGTGAAGCCTATCGAACGCACAAACAGCTGACTCAAAGTAACACCCGGACGCGAAGGGACGTTGACGAGAGAAAGTGAGTTTACGAATGCTTCTTCACAGTAACCACACGGATGCTGAGTTCCTTGAGAGTCCGAACCCCCACGCGGGACTTGAACCCGCATCTTATGCTTTCCGGGCGAGTGATGCCTCCAGAGCCGCCTCTTAACCTTCAGTTTAGCGGCTTTTATGTGCTGTAAGTCCCGCCTGGGACCAAGAGTCTTGCCCATGATTCTGCATTCTTCTTGTATAGCTCGACTCGTATCCCCGCTCAG